AAAGAAACAAGCCAAATTCCAAGAAAGAAAAACGGTTCTACAAGAAGAAAGACAAGAGCAAAATGAAGTGCTAAAATTGCCAAGTCCCTGGGCATTTTGCTCGCGAGTGCACTGAGCAGAAAAATGTAGCATTTCAAAATGCATCTCTTAGTGCTATATATGTTTTTAGCACTGTTTTGCTAATTGAATCTTATCCTGTATGGATTGTAGACTCAGGGGACACCGACAATGTGAGCCGCGATAGAGAAGTATTTATAGAGTTTCGTCGAGTTCCACCTGGATCAAAGCATGTATATGTGGAAAATAATGCAAAGCTTGAAGTCAAAGAGATAGGCACTTGCACAATGGACATGCGTGGTGGCCGATCTTGGATGTTGCATGACGTCATGTATGTTCCAGAGATTCGACGAAACTTAGTCTCTGTGTCTGTTCTTCTAGATTTAGATTTCAATTTGAACTTTAGTCGCAATGGTCTTAGAATTACTCAAGACAATATTTTTTATGGTTTTGGACATCGTTATGATGGTTTTATTGTGTTAGATTGTAATCCTTCTATGTATAACTATTATGTTGACCATTGTGTTATGGCATGTAATTCTAGTAATAATGATGTTGATGTTACATGACATGCAAGATTAGGTCACATAGGGCAGGATCGAATGAATAGATTGACTAAGGAAGGACATTTGAGTTCTTTCTCTAAAGTTGAAATGCCAACTTGTAAAAATTGTCTTGCCGGAAAGATTACACGTAAACCATTTGGAAAGGCTAAGAGTGCTGAATTTCCATTGCAATTAATTCATTCTAATATCTGTGGTCCAATGAATGTGAGGGCTAGGTCTTGTGCTTTATATTTTATTATGTTCATTGATGATTTCACACGCTTTGGTTATGTCTATTTGATTTCTCATAAATCTGAAGCACTTGAATGCTTTAATAAATATTTGAATGAAGTTGAGAATCAATTAGACAAAAGGATTAAGACTGTGAGAACCGATAGAGTGCGTGAATATCTATCAAAAGAAATTGAAGAATTGTGTATTGAAAAGGGCATCACAGACAGTTAACTATTCCGCACACACCTCAACAAAATGGTGTAGCAGAAAGGAGGAATAGAACACTAATGGACATGATAAGGTCCATGATGGCGCAAGCAAATTTACCTATCTCCTTTTGGGGAGATGCATTATTGACTGCAACCTACATATTGAACAAAGTACCTTCTAAATCAGTTTCTTCTACTCCTTATGAGCTATGGACTGGTCATAAACTAAACTTAAAGGATTTACGATCTTGGGGTTGTGCTGCATATGTAAAAGATTTCTTTAGCAAGTTTGGTAAATTAGGTCCAAAAGGCAAGAAATGTATCTTTATAAGATATTCAGAACACTCCAAAGGGTATGTGTTCATTGGTGAATTAGAGGATGGAAGTGTTATTGAGATTGAATCACGAGATATCACATTTCTGGAAAATTATTTTCTAAAGAAGGGAGAGGTAAAGAATGGAGAGCCTCTTTATGAAATGTTGAACTCAGATAGTTAGCAAGTATCTTCTGACACGGTTGATAATCAAATTGATCAAAATCTTATTCTTGATCCGAGTGGGAGTGGGAACTCTCAATCCCAAAATCCTTCCGATGAACCTGAATTTCTACTACGAAAGAGTGCCATGAAAAATGTACCCAAACATACTTATGAACTTGAAGATTATGTTTTCTTGGTATCTTCCACAGAAATGTATGAGCCAAAGTCTATGACCGAGACTTTATTGAGCTCTGGAAAAGATTAGTGGATGAAAGCAACGAAAGAAGAATTAGAGTCCATGAAAACCAACAAAGTCTAGGATCTAGTTGACTTTCCGCCAGGGCATAGAGCCATTGGGAACAAATAGGTTCTCAAAGTTAAACGGAAAATGGATGGGTCAATAGAAAGATATAAGGCACGATTAGTGGCTAAAGGCAAACTCAAGAAGCCGAAATAGATTATGAGGAAACATTTTCAACAGTTGTGAAGTTTACCTCAATTCGCTTACTTTTGGCTATTGTTGCACGTTTGGATTTGGAATTACATCAAATGGATGTGAAGACAACTTTTCTCAATGGATAACTAAACGAAGAAATCTACATGGAAAAACATGTAGGCATCATCGTTAAAGGCCAAGAAAAGAAGGTCTGTAAATTGAAAAGATCTATTTATGGCTTGAAGCAAACTTCAAGGCAATGGTGTTTGAGATTTCACAAGGAGGTGATCTCATATGATTTTACCATGATCAATAAAGACCATTGCATTTATGTGAAGAAGTCCAATGTGATGTTTGTAATCCTTTCTCTTTATGTGGACGATATTTTATTGGCCAGAAATAATTTGGAGTATTTGAAAACTATCAAGTCATGGCTTTTAAAGTCATTTGATATGAAAGATATGGGCGAGGCAGACTATATCCTTGGAGTTAAGATCCAAAGAGACCGTTCCCAAACATTATTGAGTCTATCTCAAGAAACCTATATAAAGAAAATTTTGGAGCATTTTCGCATGAATAGTTGCAAATCCATGGATACTCCTATAGCGAGAAGTGAAACTTTAAGCCTTGAAATGTGTCCCAAGACTGAAAATGAAAAGGAAGACATGTCTCGAGTTCCATATTCAAGTGTTGTCGAGAGCTTGATCTACGCTATGATGTGTACTCGCCCAGACATTTGTTATGCCGTAGGTCTGGTTAGCAGGTATCAATCCAATCCTTGAAGAGATCATTGGAAAGCTGTGAAGAGAATTTTCAGATACCTGAAGGGAATTGCAGATTATTCACTATGTTATAGTGGAAATGGTTTATAATTAAGAGGATATACAGATGCTGATGGGGCTGGTGACCGGAATGATAGAAAATCAACATCCGGTTATGCCTTCTTACTTAATGGTGGTGCTATTTCATGGTAAAGTAAGAAACAAACGTGTACAACCCTTTCAACGATGGAAGCTGAGTTTGTGGCTTGTGCGTCTGCAGTGCAAGAAGTTGTTTGGTTGAAGATTCTTTGAGCATTTGGATATTACAAAGAACTCTCAGGATCCCATGACTCTATATTGTGATAGTCAAGCGGCTATTACATATACCAAAGATCCTAAGTATCACCACAAGACCAAACACATTGACATCAAGTATAACTTTGTGAGAGACATGGTAGCAAGTGGAGAGATAAATTTACAATACATTCCTACACGAAGCATGATAGCTGATCCTTTTACAAAGACGATATCTAGAGACTTGTTTGATAAACATGTTATGGCTATAGGTTTGTGAAGGATATAAATATATTTATGTATTGTAAAATGACTTTAGTATTATAATATGCTCATCAAAATTTGACTCTTGAATTTATGCTTATATCTCGTATGCATGTGATGAATATTTTTTTGATAAAGTATGTCGAACAAGTCGCGAGATTGGCTCTCTCACACGAGCAATCGCCTCTTACGTTAAGAATCTTGAAGTGATGAGACCTTATAGAACCTTGAATAATGTGAGGTTATATTTACTTGTAGAGGTCCTTGACAACTAATAAGACTTACGAATTTCACTATTCGATTATAACTTGTTTTGTAAGCCAGATGCAAGTTTCTCTGAGAAGATGGTTTGAGGATTATTGAAGTGAGAAAATCAGGTTAGACATTTGGAGGTGTATAGACCAAGATCTGTACGGTGTTGAATGATTAAACGAATAAGACACACGCGCCAATATAAGGTGAGAACACCGTAACATGTGTTTCATACCACGTGTGCTATCGACCATGGGATAATAGAAGAATGAATCTCTGCTTCTTCATTGTGTGAAATCCCATGGAAGTTAGAGTAACTTTTATTGAAATACCCTTTGACCTTTGACTGTCTCTTGAAGTGCCAATCAATGTTGCTACTTTAGCATGCCACTAATAGCCATGAGTGATTCGTCAATGCTGTGCATGTCTAGGAAAGCAGTTGATTTGGAATGGAAAGATTCGAGTAGAAAGGGAAGGCAGACTAAAATTTAGTAATTTAACTTGTATTCATAGGCCGACCATTACACTTACCATGAGTGTATTGGGTATAATTGTGGATACAATGTTATATGAGAACTTGAGTTTGCCTCTTTCGAGGATGAGGGATCGAATAAGTAGCTATTGCAATAGCGAATGATGTCTGGGGTATTGCGAGTAATAATATCCTCATGCTAGTAGTCAATCCTTTCCATATGTGATTGGATTTCTACATAGAGCTTTAGTATAACTTTTAATTGGTTTTAGAATGTTACAGCTCTTTGTGCTCGCAGGTCGCACCAACTATTTGCCAGTATGAACTGTGTGTCAAAGACATCGATCTAGCCCACTATGAGCGAAGTGGGAGATGTTGGATTATGGGTCGTGGGTCACTCCATGGGGGCTGACCTGACCCGGTTAGGAGAGATACGTGAGAGAGGTTAAGGGAAGTTACCACTAGACCACAAACTCCGCTAATCTGAACGTGCAAAAAAAAAGGGTGGATCGTGGGTTATCTTCCTTAACCGCTATTACTCTGCCTATTTATATTAAGGAGAAAATACAGAACTTTTAAGCGTAAGAATTTTCTCTGACTAATCCTTTCTACAGGCAAAACACATAAGTTAGGGCATCTAATTGGTGGAAAATTAACTTTGTTTCCTAATGATTCAAAGTTCAATTTGGGAAAATTGTTTCGGTGGTGAGTTCAACAATTCTTTTGTTGCATCAAAAAGGTACACAATTCGTTGTTCTCGCTCCGCGTTTTAATCTAACAATTAATCAATCTCATAATAATAGAATAATTGCGAAACTGTTCAGCACCGGCTTAGGTTTCCAAATGTGGTTCTTTACAGGCTAAACAAGCTAATAAATGCGAGTCCAATAATGAATATCTATCTAATTGAAAGTATTGAACAGCAGAGACTAGTTTTCTATAATCAAGAAGACAACAATTTGTGTCCTAAAAAGTACAGTAGTTAGTATGCCCTTCAATCTATCTCGGTTCAAGAATTGTTAGTGTCAAAACATTGTCAGTGAGGCATATTTTCTCATTTGATTCATCTGTACTCCTCTCTATGAAGAAACCAGGCTCTTTTGGTTGAGGTAATCCGACTTTTTCATTGCTCAACATGAAAACAACTGATGCCATTGTTGGTCTGTCTGCCGTTAACTTTTGGACACATAATAGCCCCGCATGAATGCATCTTAACATTTGAGATTCCACAACCGATTCTTTGAGACATGTATCCATTAGTTCCAAGGCCTTGCCTTCATTCCATAATAACCAAGCCTGAGGAAAAAGCCAGTACAATTTGCATGAAATACAAGTTCAGCCAGAAAAGGGGAAGACAAGACAATCGTGGATTGATATCTTGCTTACATGTCCAAGAAGGTTGTGATGGTGGCCCAAATGATGAAATGTCCTGTTCTTTCTTCCGCTCACTAATTCTAGTAGAAGAACACCGAGACCAAACACGTCTGATTTCATTGAAAATTTCCCATCAACAGCATAATCTGGAGACATATAGCCACTGCATAAACACACAATGTCATATTATGATTTGATAAACATGAAGAATGAAGTGTCAAACTTTTCAAACTTACTAAGTTCCCATCACTCGCTTTGTTTTTGCTTTGATTTGGTCCCCACCAAAAATTCTAGCCAAGCCAAAGTCAGAAATTTTGGGTTTCAATTCACTGTCCAGTAAAGTGTTGCTGGTCTTTAGATCTCTATGTATAATCCTTAATCTGGAGTCCTGATGAAGATAAAGAAGCCCCCTCGATATTCCCATTGCAATTTGAAAACGATTTTCCCAGGAAAGTCGTCTTTTCCTGCTGTCATCTGCATAATGTCAAGGTAATTCAGTTTTCTGCTCTTAAAATGATGAGAAGTTTGTGTTAATAGAACCATAAATCTTTCTACGAAATAAGTTAAGAATCAGACCAAAAATGAAGTGGTCCAAGCTACTGTTAGGCATATATTCATAAACTAGCATCCTCTCTTCTCCTTCAAGACAACAGCCTAGAAGCTTAACTAAGTTCCTGTGTTGAAGCTTGGAAATCAGAACAACTTCATTCTTCAACTCTTCAAGACCTTGTCCCGAATGTTTGGAGAGCTTCTTCACTGCTATTTCTGATCCAGTTGATAGTTTACCCTGCAACACATTCCATCAGAGTGTCAGTTTGAAAGAGCATCATTCATTTCTTGAAATAAGATAGATTCTGGTTACCTGATAAACAGGTCCAAAACCACCCTCTCCAATCAGGTTATCTGAAGAGAAATTCTTGGTTGCAGCTGTAATAGTCATCAAATCAAACAAAGGTAATTCCATATCTTGCTTTCCTTCTTGGCCTCCTGTAAAATGGGAAAATTTCAGGAAGATATTGAGGTGAATGATACATTCTCCAGGGAAGATTGACTAGAAGTCAATAAACAAATAGTATTCTCCAACTAATCTGCATTTTTAGATATATTTGTTAACCTTTTTTGCTTTTCTTTCTGTGTATAGCATACCAAGATAGAAAACCGAGAATGGTTATTGCTGAAACTGGTAATATAATTGCAATCAGCATTGCTCTCTTCACCTTCCTGTCTGAACCTGTCATAAGTTTACAATGAGTTGTGAAAATTCACATTCTGGATGATGGTACTAGAAAGCAGATACAATGTCAACAGCTAAATTCGCATTCTTGATTCTTCATAAATCGAACGATTGACTTACCTATTTCTGATGCAGCCATCCTTATATAAAGATCTTGCTCAATTTCAGCATATTCCCTAAAATCATAGAGTTCATTAAACCAGAGCAAGCATCCACTCCCACCTTCTCTGACATCAAGATTAGAATATGCAACGCAAGAACAGTTCCCCAGGCACAACCTTTGGCATTCCTCAAGGCCAATGGTCTTGTCAAACCAGGAATGGCGCGTATCTGGCAATTTCAGACCAGAGTATTTCAGAAACCTGTCACTTGTCCCACATTCCAATGGAGTTCTTCGTACGCACCCGTTGGACCAATCAGCTGCATTCCATTGTTGTGGATATTTAGGCTCAAATCCTCTCAAACAAGCACACGGAGGGGAGTCCTTGGTGTTACACCTCCCAAATTGGCCACACAAGGCATATCGATCACAGGTATCAATCTGTGCTGTCGAGTAAAGCAACCAGCTTTGGGTGCGGTCAATCCACACAAGCTCTTGAATTAGGCCTGTCGGAATCATGACCACCCTGGTGGGAAGAGAAGCATGTATAAGGTTGTATCTGTAGTAAATCTCCGTTTCATTAAACACAAACTCAAATGTAAAATAAGGATTTGGTTTCATATTTGGTCGTCCAGTCAATAGACGTCCATTCCATGGTCCACTGGAATACTTTATAACAGGACCTTCCCACAAAATAATTTGAGGATAACCATTTGTATCGAGGCGAGATACATATTCACCTGGTGAAGGATCATCACTGCTCTTCCATGATGTAAGACTCCTATCCAGGCCAGTGACTAAGTTATGGCCTATCTTCATGCCCGGTAATAGAGTATTCCCTGGATAATCAAAACTCTGCCAGACAAGATCAGTTCCATCCTTTAGGACAAGATTTCCAGTGTCCAAAAGCTGAGCCACTGGATTCCTCAAGGATGTCGATGAATTCGTTGACCATATTATGCCTTCGGTACCATTGAGCAGTAGGATCCCTTTGTCACTGACTGTTAACGTGCCAGATATGTTATTCAGTGGGTTCGCTCTATTGGCAACCCAGACCACTTCCTTTGATATCTTCTTGTACCATATTCCAACGTACCGATTCTTGGAATTTCCAAGACTGAAAAATCCAAGCTCAAAGTTGCCACCAGCTGAAACTATGGTATAGCCATCTTTGATTGGGCTATCCTTAGATATAGTGTCTAAAGCAGTTGAAATTATGAAGAGCAATGACACTATATTTCCGGAAAGGAAATAGAAGCCTGCAAAGTGTCTCATGGAAATTGTTTGGTTCCTCGGTTTCAAAAAGGTGATCTTTGAGCCTTAAAGAGTATTTGTATTCGTCTCGTGCATTAGTACTGTTTGATTGTTGTGTATAACTCTTTCATCTTACAGGTTTTTTTCTTCAATTAGAAATGGTCAACACGGGAAGCTTGTGCATTGAATTTTGAACATGTTATCTCTAAATATTGTAGTATAATAAGAACCATGTCCATTTTATTTGTGATTAATAAGAAGTATTTTTGACTGGTATTCCCTTATTTACTCTTTACATTTATGCTTTCTAGGCTATGTAGTCAATATTTTTTATTTTTTAGAACAATTAATACGAAGGACAAAATGGAGAAAACCTAATTAATTATATCTTGATTTTCTAACAACTTAGGACCAATTATTAGTAACAATCACGACAACTAAAATGGAAAACAAAGAAAAAATAAGCAAGTCCTTAGAATTTTCTACCCCTTGGAAGAGAAAATTATCTTTGAAAAAAGAGAAATCTACCTTCTACTTGACTTCTTGGAATTTCGGGTTTTTAATTAGGGGTAATTTCGGGATAAAGAAATATTATAAGGGATAAGAATGTAATATTCTTGGGCAAAGCAATATGGCTTTTAAGCCAATAGAGAAAAAGTTGGGTTTTCCAACTTAATGGTTTTGGCTTTTTTTAAAGCAAATTTTAACTTTTTTTAAGCCCATTTTTTGTTGCCAAACAGTTCCACAAGTTAAAAACTGCTTAAAAGCTGGTTTGTCCAAACAGGCTCCATGACCTCAATTTTTCCAGCAGCACAAATTTCCAGCAGTTGTTTAACCATCAGAAACTCACTCGAAACCTCCTGGACACAAACCATATATGAATTTCAATCATAAAATACGTTACGGACCTGCTCGCACACTCAAAACACTGAAAAGAGGTCGTCTTAACCCGATATTGACCATGGTCAAATTCTCATATTTCTTAACCTTTACTAGTCTCTCAACCAATGATCCAAAAAAATACACTAAAGCCCCTCTGGACCCATCAAATCATACCAGCAAGTCCTAAAACATCATATGAACTTAGTCAAAATTTCAAATCATGCCAAACAATGCTAGAACCACAAATCATACATCAATTCAAGCCTAATGAACTTTGAAATTTCAAGTTTCCACAAACTAACGCCGGAACCTATTAAATCAAGTCCGTCTGTCCTCAAATTTTTCACACAAGTCATAAATGACATAACAGACCTATTAAAATTTTCAGAATCGGATTTTGACCCCGATATCAAAAAGTCAATCGCCCGGTCAAACTTTCCAAAATTTCGACTTTCTCCATTTTAAGCCTAAATCCACTACGGACCACCCAATAATTTTTCGGACACGCTCCTAAGTCCAAAATCACCATACGGAGCTATTGGAATCATCAGAATTCAAATCTGATGTCGTTTACGCATAAGTCAATATTTGGTCAACTTTTTCAACTTAAGTTTTTAATTATGAGACTAAGTGCCTCATTTCACTCTGAAATCCTTATAGACCCGAACCAACTAACCCGGTAAGTCATAAAATAACTGTAAAAAATAACTTGAGCAGTAAATGGGAGAACGGGATTATAATACTCAATACAACCAGCCGGGTCGTTACATTTCCAATTATTTTTAGTTAACTTTTAATTCTCCAATAAGGTTATATATTCTTGTTGAAACTAAAAGGAAAGCATGATAATTTGTGAAATTGAAGTAATAAAATTATAAAACTGGGAGAAATAATAAGTTGAACAGAGTAATTGAGATGCTAGATTGAGAACTTCTATGGGGTAAAATTTCATCCTTCTTGAGTAATTGACTAAATAAGATCAACAATTATTATTTTCAAGAATTCTGTTTTCTGTAAACTTTTATTTTTGTAACCTAAACATAATTTTCACTATAAAAAGCATATAATTCATTGAGACATGTTATATGCGCAAAGCGCGTACTCTAAGACTAGTATATATATATATATACACACACATTATTATAAAAGCATGAATACAATGTTGGTGGACAAAAATATCCTTTTTACATTATTCTTTACATAAATTTAGAGGTTATTTTGGTCAAATGAATAAAAATAGAATCTTACTAATACTACTTCCGGATGAAATAGGCTTTTTATTGGAATTTTAGGACAGACCGTGAGTTGGGTCCTTTGGAATTTTTATTATAGGTTTTTTAACTTACTATTTTTACTTTTTGCCAATGCAAAAAATACTAATAGCTGAAATAATAAAATAATCAAAAAAAATATAGTAAGGTAAATAAATTATTACTCCTATCTATCACGATTGAATTTCCCTTATAGGCCGTGATAGCGCCTAACGTCGTCGCTAGGCAAGCCAACTGTGAACAAACAATGTGATTATTCTTTTAATAAATCTACCAAGTAATTAAATTCCATTTATTTAGAGATTTAGGAGTGGAAAATTTAATAAAATAAAATGAAGACAACTGAGTGGGCAAATATATTGATGTAAATACTCCAAATTACTAGTATGTGTGTCAAGACCTGGTGTCACAAGTGTATGCGCAACTAGTAAAATATACAAAACTCTAACTATAGTCTGAAATGAAGTAGACAGAAAAATAGATACAAAAGAGACTCTAGGTGATGCAGAACGGCGCAGGAAGCAGCTTATCACTATGCCTCGGGGTAATGGGTGTAGGCGCCGATATGACCGCCACATGCACCTAGCTCAGATCCTGCACGATTAGTGTAGGAGTGTAGCGTGAGTACATAAACAACATGTACCCAGTAAGTATCTAGTCTAACCTCGAATAAGTAGTGATGAGGGGTCGACATCGACACTTACTGTGGGCTAACAATAAAATACAAGAATTCTAAATATGCATGGAATATGTAAATAATAAATACAACTCAGTAACAAGCAGTGAATAATAATTCTTTCACTAAAAATAAATTCCAAGTCAATTTCTATCCCTAAATAATTATAACTGCTCAAGCCATAAAATAATGTCAAGTATAATTAGGCTCAAAGTATTATCACGCACGATTTATGCCGAGGTCGTACGACCCGATCCAAAAATATACTGTATGCATTGTCGAGGGTTGAACGGTACGAACCATAGATGCATCTATTAACCTGCCGAGGCGAACGACCCGTGTCACGACCCGAAATTCTCACCTTCGGGACAGTGATGGTACCTAACATTTCACTTGCTAGGCAAGCCAACGTTAGAATAATTTTAACCATTTGTTTTTTAATTTAATTTAATTAATAGTAAAGAAACTAATAACTGGAATAAAATCTATAATAAAGTGAGTAAACCATAATATGGCGATGTCTAAATACCATCACAGAACTGGTGTCACAAGTGTATGAGATACTAGAACAATACAAATAAGGGTCTGAATGAAAATAAAGATATCTGACAGTAATACACAACTAAAATAAAGTAGATGGAGACTTCAAAGTTGCGAACGCCGTGCAGCTATACCTCAAGTCTCCTGTGGATAGCTGAATCTGAGCAAATCTATTGTATGTCGCTTGGACCAACTCTGGTATCTGCACAAGAAGTGTAGAGTGTAGTATGAGTACAACCGACCCCATGTACCCAGTAAGTACCGAGCCTAACCTCGACGAAGTAGTGACGAGGCTAAGGCAGGTCACTTACATTAACCTGTACGCAATAATAATAACAACAACAATATAGGAGAACATGAATAGAAATTAAACCGGTATATCATATCAACAATCAAGCCAACTTGGCGGTCATAACCAATTATTACTTAAATCACTTTGTGTTACGGCGTGCAACCCGACCCCACAATATATTCTTATTCAATTCTGTTGCTGCGTACAACCCGATCGCAAAATATATTTATTTTTATATAATTTTACTGCGGCGTGCAACCCGCTCCTCCAATATATTCACTTTCAATCAATTCTGTTGTGTCGTGCAACCCGCTACTCTAATATATTCACTTTTATTTCTGTTGCGATGTGCAACCCGCTCCACAATAATATAATTTATCAATTCTTATAAAATAAATTATTATAATAAATGTAACAACTAATATGAAATTGTAAGTAAGACAATAAGCATATAATCATTATGATTTATTTAGAAACAAGTGATGACAAGTAGCAATTAATTGTGAAAATTAAGGAGGAAATAGGCAATTTAATATTTAGTATACTAAATATCAAGTAACAATTAAGTCACATAAATCAAATAAGCATGTAGCAAATATAGTATGGATTCAAGGTATAATATTGAGCAAGGAATATGAGAGAAATAATTAATATAATAATTAATTCATGATTTAAAATAATTTATGATTTCCAGATAAATATGCAAACAATCAATTTGACGACGTATAGGCACTCGTCACCTCGCCTATACGTCGTTACACATGAAATTTACGTAACAATAATTCAAGGGTTCTATTCCCTCAGGTCAAGGTTAACCACGACACTTACCTCGCTTCGCAACCAAATTCAAGATTCCAATAAACCTTTGCCTCGCGAATTGATGTTTGAAAGCTTCAAATCTAGTCACAACAATTCAATATTCTCAACACGAATCGTAGGAATTAATTCCATATGAAATTACTAATTATCCAGATTAAAATCCGAAATTCATTTAAAACCCGATAGTGGGACCCACGTCTCGAATCCAGGGAAAACTCACAAAATCTGAACACCCGTTCCAATACGAGTTCAACCATACAAAAATTATCGAATTCCGACATCGGATTGGCTTTCAAATCTTAAATTTTTATTTTTGGAAGATTTTATAAAAATCTGATTTTTTTTCCATAAATACAAGGATTTATGATGTAAATGAGTATGGAATTATGAAATATAACTAATTTCAGATAAAGAATACTTACCCAACTAAAACTCGTAAAAAATACCTCTGAAATCGCCCAAAATCGAGGTCTAAAACTCTAAAAGTGAACAAAAATGTAGGACTCCGGACATATATATTCTGTCTAGGCAAGTCGCATCT